AGCTGTGTGAGAGAAGTGTGGTTCAAAGAATTATGTTGACCAGGTAGTGCAAGGTGATGGCCTCAACACCATGGTACCAGAGTCGGAAGGGTGAAGCACGAGGCCATGTTTTTTATATCTCTGAAGGAGAATCCGGGCAATAACAAGAGTATTGCATGACAAAAACAGTGATAAATCATTCACCTTTTCTTTATGGCCAACATCTCTCTCTTCCCTATGTGGGTCACACCCACTGTATTGACAAGAGGCTGTGTGGCTTACATGCGAGGCCCAAATGTATCTTCTCTCTGCTCAACTGCCTTTATTGTGGTGGTAGGAACAGTATTTGCAGGAATATAAGGAGAGAGTGACTTTGACGGGCCCAAGGCCTGGTGTCTTGTCTGATGAAGGGTAGAGGGAGCAAATGGATGTGGAGGGTGGGATGTATGAAGAACTTGAAATCCTAGGAGAAATGCTAATCATGGCTTGAACTGTCCCCCTTATGACAGAACATGAACTTTGAGGACGTGGCCATTGTCTTCTCTGAGGAGGAGTGGGGGCTCCTTGATGAGGCTCAGAGACTTCTCTACTGCAATGTGATGCTGGAAGTGTTTGCACTTGTCTCATCGGCAGGTAAGACCTTCACGTTTCTCCCAATGTCCTGAGGTGATGTCTACTCTTCCTTTATTCTCCAAACGTAGCTCTCACAGCCAGACCATGGGGTCTACTAATATCCCCCACTGTCTTTTCAAATGAGCTGTGGATTCCAGGGGCGAGCTGTGTGGGGAGTCCTGAGCTCTGGACTCTCCAAGCAAACCTTACACCCACTGCCTCAGAAAATGCAATTAGTGTCTGGCAGTCAGGAGTCTTGCAATGAGCTTAATGGGACCCACTTTGAACTTTTTCTTCCTGGGAAGGTAACTATGTCCTCATGGCTTCCATTTCTGCACAATTCATCCAGGTAAGGCTCTGTGACTGCCTGTGCCGGGTTATTGTTTTTACTTACATGAACTGTAGTTGTACTTGTAACATCCTACCTCAATTGTTGTTTGTAATATTTCCTTTCCTGAATACTATTGCATTCCGAATTGCTCTGGGTTAGTGCTGACTGCTCACCTCCCTTGTATTTCATTAATTCTCTGAATAATTAGTTTGCATGTATTTAGAGAGTAGAAGGTGCATGGAGAACCCTGTGTTCTCTCTCAGGGTGAACTGGCAAGATGGTCTTTGGTGAGGCCTGATCCTACTGAGTGGAAACTGGTTGAAGGTGTCACATGAGGGCTTCTTTCAGATCACACCAGGAACCCGCTTGTGTCCAACCATATTTAGGTGCAGATGCGTTTCCCCACACCTTATTTCTACATTTTCTTTACCATTATTGACATTTTGATCACTGATCATTTCATCTGTTACTTCATGGCTTTTGTTTAACTTCACGTTTGTCATCTTTGTGCATCATATCTCCGTCTGCACTGCTCCCTGTGCAATATTCTCCTGCATGTTCCTGCACATGTGTTATGAGGTGTACATACATGCTTAAGTAGTCCTCGAACTCCTGCTACTGAATTTTACTTGGAATAAGACATAAGCACCCTTCTGCACAGCTTTGCCATGTCATCAGCAAATAAGCCCTGCTGAACACTGTTAGTAGAAGAAGGAGCTGACAATCCTGCTTTGATTCCATTCTGTGCTTGCCATCTGTGTGTCATATATCTGGTTAGGCTTTCCTTGTTTTGTGATATTCAGAGTTCCAGAACTTTACAGGAGCCTTTTCCAAATCCTTCCAGCACATCTCTTATTTTCAGACAATTATGTGGAATGCATGTATGATGTGCAACATATTTTTGTAATGGAACTTCCCTCGTCAAAGTACTCTACATCCAGTTCCTCCTCATTTCTCTGTTTTCAGGTTGTTGGCATAAAACGGATGATGAGGAGGCCTGTTCTGAGCAGAGCGTATCTGTACAAGGACAGTCACAGTTCACGGTGTCTAAGACAGAGCCAGCAACCCAGAGGACCCATGTGTGTAAGCGGTGTTTCTCTGTGTTCAAAGACATTCTGCACCTGACTGAGTCACAGGCAGCATACCTTGAGCAGAAAGCCTGCTTCAGTGACATACGTGTGAGAGACTTCTGTTTCAGTGCAAACCCTCGCCAGCAACAGAGGGAATCCAGTGGAGAGAAGCCCTGGAAAGAAGCTGTGAACAGGACCTCGTTTGTGACCAGGTGCAGCTTCTACTTATCAAGGCTCCCTTCATACAGTAGGGAGGTTGCGGAAGACTTGCCAGCCATCTCAGAGCTTCTCCAGCCCCAGGTCCCTCTCAACACTGAGGAGTCACACGGCGGCAGTGAGATTTCCCTGAAACATAGCAGTGGAAAAGGTCATAACCAGTGGGGTCAATGTGAAAATGCCACCAGCCACAACCAGAAAGTTGTTCAACAGAACGTCTGCAAGGGAGAAGCAAATTATGCATGGAAGAAATCTGGAGAAATTTTTAGAGAAATCTCTAGCATCATTCGATATAGGAAAGCTCACAGTGGAGAAAAGCCATATGAGTGTAGTGACTGTGGGAAGGCCATTGGATATAAAACTAACCTCAATCAACACCACAGACTTCACACTGGAGAAAAGCCATATGTGTGTAGTGACTGTGGTAAGTCATTCAGGTATATCTCTCTTCTTAATCAGCACCAGAGAGTTCACACTGGGGAAAAAACTTATGAATGTAGTGAATGTGGGCTGTCCTTCAGACAAAGGTTTAGCCTTACTAAGCACCAGAGAGTTCACACTGGAGAAAAACCTTATAAGTGCAGTGAATGTGGGAAGTCCTTTAGACAGAGGTATAACCTCACTGACCACCAGAGTGTACACAGTGGAGAAAAACCTTATGAGTGTAGTGAATGTGGGCAGTCCTTCAGACAAAGAACTACCCTTACTAATCACCAGAGAATTCACACTGGATATAAACCTTATGAATGCAGTGAATGTGGGAAATCTTTTAGAAGTCATAGTAACCTTTTTACCCACAAGAGAATTCACACTGGAGAAAAACCTTATGAGTGTAGTGAATGTGGGCAGTCCTTCAGACAAAGAACTACCCTTACTAATCACCAGAGAATTCACACTGGAGATAAACCTTATGAATGCAGTGAATGTGGGAAATCTTTTAGAAGTCATAGTAACCTTTTTACCCACAAGAGAATTCACACTGGAGAAAAACCTTATGAGTGTAGTGAATGTGGGCAGTCCTTCAGACAAAGAACTACCCTTACTAAGCACCAGAGAGTTCACACTGGCGAAAAACCTTATGAGTGCGGTGAATGTGGGAAGTCATTTAGAGGAAGGAGTAACCTCTCCGAACACCAGAGAATTCACACTGGCGAAAAACCTTATGAATGCAGTGAATGTGGGAAATCATTTAGATGCCGTGGTACCCTTCTTCAGCACAAGATAATTCACACAGGAGAAAGGCCTCATGAGTGTAGTGAATGTGGGAAATATTTTAGATGTCATAATCACCTTTTTATGCACAAGAGAGTTCACACAGGAGAAAGGCCTCATGAGTGTAGTGAATGTGGGAAATCTTTTAGCCGAAAATCTCACCTCATTAGACACCTGATTGTTCACAATGGAGAAAAGGTTTAAATGTGATCCCAATACTTAATTTTTCTCATTGACAATAACAACACTAAAGGGTTCTCTTTGATACACATTTAATGGACTATAATCCCCTTTTATCACAACATGCACTCCCCTAGATTCCTCATAAAATTTCAAGTACAAGTGATGCTTTAGACAACTGCATGGCACTTGCTAAGCTGCTCGGACCTACTACCCGATTGAAATCACTGGGAGTATTCCTGGCTGAGGCGATTTCACCTCCACCACCTGGCTCACCTGAACAGGGTGCCTCAGTCACAGCCCCTGCGTGGTCAGGGAAAAGGAATTCTGTGTTCTCACCTCTGCCTGAGCAAACTGTGATTACTCCAAGCTCCTGGTGGGATCTTCATTCCTTTCTGACTAGAAAATGGATTTGATTGAGGGTTCATCCAGTGCACCCATCCTCACCTAAGTAGAGCTACCTCTCTCAGGATATCACCTTATGCTGTGATGTATTGTTTCAGGTTCCAATTCACCAACCTGCAAACCCATTGAATTTTCTAACATGTCTCGGGTTTATAATCTTTTTGTCCAGGTGCTTTTGCTCATGTACTAGTACCTTTCATTTTGTTGATCCTATTCATTGCCTGGATTTATTTGAAAGGACACTTGGGATTTGTACCCATGTCCAGGGGAACAGATATTGTGGGAATCCCCAACCAGCTTTGCTTCTGAAGGCAAAGCGTGGAGTCAGAAAATCACTTTTTCCAATATTCACTTGTAGTGTAATGCTGCCCAAGACCCCGAAAGAAAGCCGGCATGACTTGGTGGTTCTCATTTGCAGCCTGGTGCCTCCTATGATTGAGGTCTGAGGTCATCCTGAAGATGGGGGTGGAGGGCTTTGTTGTGCTTCTGTGAACAATGTGAATTATATTTTCTGTTCACAGTGTGTATTACATACTGTCAAGGTGACCTGTGCCGTTATGAATGACATTTCATAGGCTGGTGTCGATTGTATTGAGACTCTGAGGGTTAGGTTGAACTACAACTGGGTCAGAAACCCTGTATTCATAGTGAGTGGGAAAGAGTGCAGTGAATTATGTGAATCGCACCTCTTCTGAACGTGACCCACAAGGACTAAGGACCTGTGACTTGTGTGGTCATTGTGGACAGGTGTCCTCAGTTCCTCCATCACTGTTTTTTGTGGCTAAAGTCATTTTTAGAGAAAATAATCTAAAGGGTCTGTTTCCTCTTCTGGCCTCTCTACGGTGTTCACCTCAAGGTTTGCTCAATAGGCAAGACCTCAAAGCTAGAAGAATTGTGATTCTGTAGTCAGTCCCAGGATGTGGCATTTGTGACCCAGTCAGCATTCCTGTTGATTCTGATGGCCATAGTCTTCTCTGCTTGACAGTATTTGCTCCCACTTAGGCAAGGCTGGTGCTTCCAGAAAATCAGGAGAGAGATGGTAGAGCCCATATAGGGTTGTCATTTTAATTTTCTAACAAGACAGGGATATCTGGGCCTTTATTTGGAAGCACATTTTGAGGTTATATTTAGGTATATTTGTACTATTTGGTGAGCTGGAACATAGGGATCAAACTCTAAAATGGTCACATGTGACATAAACTTATCTCTCACCATATACAGGTTCGGGCAAAACCAGGCATACAGATGTGAATATGCAAAGCACAGAGTTGACTCTCTATTTTTCTAAATAAGTATTTTACATATTTAAATATATTTTAACGACTTTTCACAAAGGGAGGAAGGGAGAGAGAGAGAGAGAGAGAGAGAGAGAGAGAGAGAGAAAGAAATGGTGATATTAGAGAGAAACATCAGTTTCCTTCTGCACATCACCTACAGGGCATCCGGGCAGGCATGTGTTTTGAGCTGGAATGGAACTAGTGACCTTTTAGGGCAACGGATGGTGCTCAAACACCTGAGGCTCACTGGCAGGGAAGAGTTTATTCTTTTTTTATTATTTTTAAATTATTGTGGTAATTTCCATGCCAACAGCTCTACACCTTCTTGTGCCACACCCTGTATATACCTCCTGCCCTTTTGTAATCTCTCCTTCTACCTTCCCCAGCCCTAAATGCAGTCATTGATTTTCCTTCCTTTACAAGATCAGTTAATATTTTCCATAATTTCATAAGCACTATAAGGGGTATACAAATATTGCTCTCCTTCATGCTACATAGTCATTTTGAGATTCAACAGGAATTCTTATATGAATAGTCAATTATTTTATATGGCTGAGTCATACTGTGTTCTGTGAATAACCAGTTTACCTATTATTGATCTGTCTATGGTTTTAGTTATTTCCAGGTTTGGGATATTAAAAATAAATCTGCTGGTAATAATGCCTTCAGTTCTTTATATAGAGGTATGTTTTACTTATCAAAGTGATGCAGTGTAGGTGAATGTTTTACCTGTTAGTATATGCAGAACTGTGTTCTAAAATGGTCATTCCCTTTGGCTTTCCAACCACCCAAAGAAATGAAAATTCTAGTTTTTCCACAAACCTGCCAGCACATGTGATGTTTAATCTTTTTAATAATAGGCCGAGAAATGAGTATAGTGTTAACTTGCTTTGTTTTAATTCCATTTTCCTAATAAAATTTTTAAAATTTTTTCCCTAATAAATTTTTATGGTGAACGTTTTCTCAAGCTATTCTTTACACTGTCTTTGTCTCCTTTGTTGAAATGTCTGGTCAGAATCTTTTGCCAATTTTTAAAATGAAATTATTATTTTAACTATAGGTTATTGCAGATATATTTATTTATTTCACTCAATCCTCAATGACTCAACTGAATTCTTTGCAATGTGAAACTATAAATATTTTTTTAAAAATATTTTTTTTATTGATTTTAGATAGGAAGGAAGAGGGATAGAGAGATAGAAACATCCATGATGAGAAAGAATCATTGATTGCCTGCCTCATGCACGCCCCCTTCTGGGGATCAAACCCTCAACCCAGGCATGTGCCCTTGCTTGGAATTTAATCCAGGACCCTTCAGTCCCCAGGCGGACCCTGTATCTACTGAGCTAAATTGGCTAGGCCTCAACCTCTTAATTCTTTTTTTAAAAAAATATTTTTATTGATTTCAGAGAGGAAGGGTGAGAAAGAGAAAGAGAGAAACATAAACGATGAGAGAGAAACTCTATCAGCTGCTTCCTGCACATCCCCCATGCGCCCCTGTTCAGAATCGAACCTGGGACCTTTCCGTCCACAGGCTGACGCTCTATTTACTGAGCCAAACCAGCTAGGGCCCCTTAATTCTTTCTTAAAATTGTAATCCTCATCTGAGGATATGTTTATTGCTTTGAGAGAGAGAAGAAGGGAGGGGCACAGAGAAAAAAAAGGAACATCCATGTGAGAGGAAACATGGACCGGTTGCCTTCCATAAATGCTGGACAGCAGATCAAACCCACAGCCTGGTCTGTGCCCTCACCAGGAACCAAACATCCCCTTTGATTGAAGTGGGCGAATGAAATGAAGCTGCAAGAGATTGAGCCGCCTGGCCACGGCAGCACCTGAAATCTTCATGTTTCCTTCAAGACCTTGAGTTCGTATGACTCAGCATTTGGGGGAGTGTTTGTTTTGCATGTTGCCTGTTGTTTGTATGTGTGAATTGGTTGTCCCCTTGGGGGTTCTCTTTCTGTCTGTGTTCTATGTCCGTGTATGTCTGCTCTGGTGTGTGCGCGCGTGTGTCCATTTGTGTGTGTGTGTGTGTGTGTGTGTGTGTGTGTGTGTGTGTGTTCCCCTCAAGTTGTTCCCTATGTCTGCAGTGTGTGTCTGTGTGAGCCTGTCCATAAGCCCTGCACCTGAGTATCCAGCTGTGGCTGGGGGTGTCCTGTACCTGCGTGTTTCTGTGCTTGTTGTGTCGGTATGTTTCCGTATGAGTCTGTGCACTCCAGACACAGGCAACTGCCTAGGAAGTCTCTGAAGCGGTCAGGAAGGGGCCCCTTCTGTTCCTGCTCTTCCAGCCTCTGCTTTCCCCCATGGGGAGACATGTCTGGCATCCGAGATGGATGAAGTTTATAGAACCCCAGCCTGTGGGAAGGGGAGGAATTAGGGAAGATTCTGATGGCAGACTGGAGTTAGAGAGTGTGCATGGGGAGTGTTTGTGAAGGACACTAGGCTTCGTGGAGGAGCTGGGGATCCCGGTGCCTTGGGAAGGAATGAGTGGGTGGGTGCATGTGGGTGGAGCTGAGGGGAAAGACTTCCAGGCTCCTAACCCCCCACTAGGAATGAGGAAGTGGACATCCCTGGAGAGGGGTGTCCCTTGCCCATGTGAAAGCACGGCTGACCCCTCAGCGAGGAAGGTGTCCAGCTCCATGGAGCATCATTCCGGGATTTCTGGGCTCAGGTCATCTCCTGCGAGTGCGTGGCCAACCAGGACCCTGGGGCCAGGAGAGAGAATTGGGCCCTGAGATTTCTTCACTGTGGACGGGTGAACTGTGGAGGGAGTGCATTTAGCACACAGAACGAATGGAAACCACAGGGTCACCATTGATGTTACTGGCAGCATTTTCACCATCAGCCCCACCTTCTGGGGCCCTCACCTGGGCAACGCAAATGACACAGGGCCGTGGAGGCAGGGAGGGCCTGATGTTCATGTAAAAGCACGTGATGCTGGAGGCTTCCAGCCTGTGCCCTTCCCAGTCAACACTCTTAACTTGTGAGTCTTCACCTCCACCGAGTGTGGGACCCGAGGCAGCCAGGGGTTTACCCAGGTCACACTCAGAAGTGGGTTCTGAGTTTGCTGCCAATGCCATCCGCCCAAACTCCTTTTCTGAGGTTCACTGCTTTGGAACTTGTCAGTGATGGTTTAGGGCAGCAGTTCAAACCTGTGGGTCACCACCCCTTTCACAGGGGTCGCCTAAGACCGTCCTGCATATCAGATATTTATATTATGATTCATAATAGTAGCAACATTACAGTTACGAAGTAGCAATATAAATAATGTTATGGTTGTGTCACAACATGAGGAACTGTATTTAAAGGGCCATAAGGTTGAAAGTCAGTGGTTTAGGGCAA